ATAGTGGGAATCTGAGTATTGGCTAGTGGCACGCCTTCGATGGTCAGTGCTGCAGGTTGGTTCCTCCATTAACGACACAAACTGCGGGAGGCCCTCATCATTACCACTTTCTGATGCCTCATTGACCCATTCCCACCAAACGGAGTGGCTTCGATCAGTCACCAAACGTGCATGAAAACCTTCCTAACTTTTCAGAACACAGTCATACCACTGCAGGGAGCTCGTAACAATCACAATGCGTAATATTCATTGAAACTAGTGGCGGATCCAGAAGGGGGTTCGTAAGGGCAATCGCCCCCCCCCCCCCTCCTTGAGCCTGGGTCAGCATCCTCCTCCCTCTTAAGGCTTGTCGTACACCTCTTAACACCAATTAGATCAAATGAGTAAGGCTACTGTGAGCACATATTAAATGTTTTCAAGTTAGGGCGGGGATATTCTGCTACTAAAAACTAAGTGAAAGCAGTCATAATGGGTGTCCCGCAAGGCTCGCTTCTTGGTCCCATCTTATGTCTCGTATACATTAACGATCTTCCCATCTGCTTAACTAGCGCCTCATTCATCTTATATGCTGACGACACCACTATATTTACTTTTCTAGCAATTGCATGAATACCATGATAACCCGACTCAACTGGGACCTGGGCAACTTATCTGTTTGGTGCAAAACAAAAAAAACGAACTTCGTACCAATGCATCTAATACCCAATTTCTGCCTTTTTCATACAAATAAACGTGTCATCTCATCTGCACCCCACTCATACTTAATAATCATGATCTTTCACCTGCGCACGAAGTCAACATTCTTGGGGTCAAGCTCGATCATCATCTTAAGTTTAACCTGCATGAAGAAATGATCTGAAACTTGCTTTTGGTATCAGAGCCCTAATTTTAACACGCTAGTTTTTCCCACTGCATATCAGAACTTCATTTTATTACGCATTTATACATAGCCACCTTCAATACTGCATTTCCGTCTGGGGAAACACATACACCACGCATTTAACAAATCTAAAACATTCACAAAATCAGGCCTTGCGTATTGTAAGTTTTTCTGGCTACATGTCTCATTTGGTACTAAGTTACACTTCATTTGGCATACTGCCACTACGCTACAAGTTTCAGCAGAAACTGGTTTTAGTAATATATTGCACACCTAACAATGAAATCACTATCGATACATTTCAAGCATCTGCTGTAACTAATAGTAGCAACAATAGATTTTCATCTAACAACATTTTACTTCCCCAAAAAAACACTAATAATGGGGAATTCACAGCTCGTTTCACTGTCTTTATTACTGCAATATATTGCTATTATGTATTAAAGCATGCCACACAACAATATTATTAAAGAACAATGAAGAGACACCTGCTAACAACTTTGCTCGCTATCGATTCGTTTTGATTATACTCGTAAAGTGTTTCATTCATTTTATTACAATACCGCTTCTATATTCATCTTCATCATCAGGCTGACTACGTCCACTGCAGGACAAAAGCCTCTCTCATCTTATATTTTATATTATATTTATTACCACTTCCATATTATGTATCATGAGACTGTGTTGATTTTTTCGTCAATTTTTGGTTTCTTGTATACAAAAGTATAAGATTTTGTTAAAAGTATTTGTGAGCATGCTTCACTATTTATATATCAATTGTGTACCAAGCACGTTCTTTCACAAATCCACATGTTTATATATGTTACGTTATTTGCAATTTTATTTTCTATAATTACTTCTCTACTACTTTTTTTAGTAAATTACGTTTCTTGTACCAGTTTACTTTTGTTGGTCCTTTCTATTGTTCTTTTTTTCTATATGTTCTGCCTAATATTTCTGGCATCTTTCTTTTTTACTCTTCAACTGCTTTTCGCCATTACATGAAATTTATTGATATTGACAAATGACTGATAGGTTCTCCTTCTGTACTAATGATGAACGAAGAATTGAATAGGAAAAAGTCACGACCCCCCCCCCTCCTTCGGTGTTACTTCAAGCGGCTGTCCCACCTAAAGAGAGTCGCTAGATCCACCCCTGATTGAATCTTGGGCATTACGTGACTTTCTAGCAGGGTTAATGAATTGAAGCGGCTTGTTCGAAGTAATAATTTCTTTACAAAATATACAAATCGCGAACTGTAGTCGGAAGAAAAAAAAAGAGGGCACATGGAGCGAAGTTATGTAACACAGTGGAAAGTATCGTTGTTACATTTACTTATCGCCGCACGTGCACTCGAGTCTTCTGACTGTTTTTTTTTTCGTTCTTGATAATCTCGAGCTGTCTACCATTGATTAACTAGTTGAACGACCGTTCAAATAATCTCTTATTCGCATCGTGCTCACCAAGAAAAAGTTGGTGATTAGTAATACGGTGCCGTGTGGTTTGGCAGTACAGAAGATGACAAATGCACGAAGTACCTCTTAAAAAGTTTTCGTATTATTATCGTCTGGCAACTGTGACTACCACGTAGTTTAACAGCAGCCCAAGAAAGATGCCACAGACAATGGCTAGTTGGGCCTGTTAACATGCGAACACCCGAAGGCACTAGGGCTCTATTCTGCACTTGACCGAGCATAGATATCAAGATACCAATTCACAAAAACGGGGGTCGAGATGCTATTACCCCCTGTAAAGTCATTTTTATCTAATGGCAAGCGTACGTACCTAAGATAAGCCGCATTCAGGTGTAAAAGCCGCTTTTTTCATGCGGGTTACGGTTAGTGGTGACGCCAGCAGCACAGTAACACGGCTGCTGCGGAGAGGTTCGGCTGGCACACGGGACAAAAAAATTACTGAGTCTATTTTGAAGTTGGGTGGCTTGAGTGGACGGAAGGCACCGCGGGATGTATATCGAAAATCCCGCGTGGTGATCCGATGATCGGCGACGCCACATTCGCGGTACTTTGCTGTCATATTGCTTCAGCGTTGCATTCGAATATTGTATAATGTTATGTAGCGTGACATTAGTGGTGTTCTATATTCGGCTGGCGATATCTCCGATGTATAGGCAAATGAATAAATGTACAAGTGTTTGTTTCTTTTACCCGACGGCGTCTGCTGTGTGCGTGTGTACCGAAAGCGGAGATTGTCGCCGAGATCCTAAACGTGGTACCAGAAAACTTTACTCAAGAAAAGTTTCAGCCAGTCACAATGCAGATGTATCATTAGTGGCACCAGCTAAGCAATGAGAAAACATTGATGTGCGAAAGAGAAGTGTTGTATATTCGGCCCCTGATGGTTTCATTCTGATTTCACGAACTGAAGCCGTAGAATTTGCTACTTCAGTCAATATAAATGACAAAAGGAGCGAGAATTGATAAGAAGTAAGCTGCAAGGTTAGTTTTCAAAAACCGACAGAAAAATGTGGTATCAAAGGCTTCGTCCTTTTTTATCGTGATGATTTAAGCTATGCGTAGTATAAAGACGGCGAGCTTAGTACGAGCATTAAACGCATTTTAATAGATGCTGGTGGACGTCATCAAGCCGAATTATACGCCTTAATATGACACACGGAATATCAGAGAAAATCTTTGGAGAATAATGGCCTGTTGAGTAAGGCTAGCGGGTGCAAGAAATATTGCAAGAAATAGCAAGTAATCACTGAAAGTGGAAATAATATAGCATTGACTAAACAAATGAGCAAATTTGAAGGCGAGACAATGCCGAAATTCCTGGGAGCACTACGAAATGGATAAGGTTTTCATCGAGTAGGGAACGTGAATGGGCTGAAGATGTCGACGACGTCACTAGTATGAATGCACGGTCGCAGATTACACATTATGGCTTGCTACGAAGGTCACTGGAACCGGTAATCATCTTGTTTACCGTACTCCTTTGACAAAAAGCTGCATGTAAATAGCGCTGAGAGATGTATGTGGTTGTTGACCTGTGAAACACTCCGTAAACACTAGGCAGCAAAACAAAACGAGACTGGTGTGAAACCCTTGTAACGCAAGGCGAAAACTTGCCTGCACTCACTAGCGACAAAAAAGCCGCAGCGAGTAGATACTTACGTTTGTGATTACACTAATCCTTGTAACGCCTCATGTCGTCTCAAAGATCGTGCACCCTGGTGTGGTTTTACGCTATTATTAAATCTGTTAACGCGACGCTGTGCCTGACATAGCGGCGGCATAGGGTATTTACCCGAAGAAGTTTCAGGCGCAAGCCTGACTTCACATTTGAATAGGTGACTGTCCCACAGAATATTTAGGTTACATTGCAGATCAAGTCCTCTCCATTCGCGGTGAAGTGGCGAAATCTTTCAAATGGTACCGCTTCTATACGCGATACTGGCGCCAAGGACACTAACGAGGACCCCTAATTAACACTATTGGGCCCAGTATACACCTTTTCACAGGAAGGGAAAAAACGCCACCATGATGGTATGTGCGCTGGAGTACAAAGGCTAAGGGCGCAGCGTTGCCAGTGCATTTTCAGGGGACGCGCCAATTTGCACAGCCCAGGGAGGGCTATGGCGGCGCCCAGGGAGTCGTTTATGAAAAGGTGAATATGCGCAGTACCACGGAGAGAACATTCAGATAAAATAGTATATGATGATTTCATCGCTTTCAAACACTGGAAGCAACTGACACAGCAAGAAAATACGTCCTGGTAGTCAAGCGTAGCCGTTCTTCTTCTGAATATGCACCTAAATGTTGGCGACTGTTTCTTTCCAGTGTTTTTTATATCACGAGATTGAAGGAATTGGGAAGACGAGTCATAGGCGTCACTCTTACAGTGTAATTGGTTTACTTGGTATTCAAATATTTACAACAATCCGAATGGAGTCGACAAAGCGGCAGTTCTTATTCATAATACTACAAGTCACTGCTATCAGCTTTGTCGGTCGTGAAATTTCCTGCCGGGAAACTGAATGTATTGTTTTGAGTTAGAACACACTCTAAGTGCGCACTTTTGTGTGAATGGGCAGATTACTAATACATTGCAGAGATGCAATTGTGAAACTGCACTGTAACTGAAATGAAGAGTCACTTACCTTTCCCACAAGACAAAGCCATCGTCGACCAGCGTCGGCAAGACGGACTGGGGATTGATCTGGACAGTGAGAAAATCGCTAGTGGTTTATCCCATATCGTATAGACTAGTTTACCTAAGATATAATGGTACCGCCACCTTGGGCTGTTATGTAGTGATTTCTTGTTTTTGTATATTGCGACATGAATCAATAAAGCCATGAAAACATCGCACGTGCAAACCCAACTGTTTTCATACATAAACGCCATTCGTTTAGTTGTTAAATATGTAAAACACAAAGGTTAACAGCCCGATATGGCGGAACAGAAACCCATCCTTAAAACAGTCTATATGCAGTAACAGCATGCACTTGCAGCAATTTGAAAGCATTGTATGATCATCGCTGTGACACTTTCTCTGCGTGTCTAACACAAAGCTATAGCGTCTCTTTAATAGGTGCCATGAACATCGACGTAAGTGCAGCGACAACACGTCGTAGTGAAGGGTCCCCAAGTTTTGCGCAATTATGTATTTAGGTTATGGCCTTCTAGAATCATACGCGCCCCAATTTGAGCAATTCACCGCGTATCAAGTTACATTAACGAAGTTGATAATCAAAGTCTTTCTAAGCAACGCCTTTAGGGGCGAAGCTCCTAAAGCTGTGGGTCTGTCCATGCAAGGGTGTGACTGGTTTGTCACCACATAGTTGTATCACTCACTCAGCAGGTGGCGCTTTTGTGAGCGACAGAATGACAGACAGACGAACGAACGCACGCATGGACAGACGGACGCATGTATGGACGAAAGCACGGATGGAAATGCAGAAGCACAGATGAAAGGACGAACGCTTCGCTTCATTCATCATCTTCCACTCCATGGATATGCTGTGATTCTGGCTCCTGTACCACTCCAAGCAGCAAATTTCACGATGATCACGGCTGCCCCTCACGCATCCTTCGTCAGCTCCTAGTTATGCTCTACACCGCCAGGTGCCTACCACGGCCCGCCGTGGTGGTCCAGTGGCTAAGGTACTATAGGCTGCTGATCCACAGGTCTCGGGATCTAATCCCAGCTTCGGAGAAGGCGAAAATGCGGAGAAGGCGAAAATGAATTTTCGGAGAAGGCGAAAATGCTGTAGGGCCATGTGCTCATATTTGGGTCCACCTTAAAGATCCCCAGGCTGTCAAAAGTTTTGGAGCCCTCAACTACGGCGTCTCTCATAATCATATGGTGGTTTGGAACGTTCCACTCTACATGTCAGTCAATCAATCAGGTGCCTATAACAAAACCAGCCAAATACTTGTCGTAAATACTGTAATTGCTAAGAACTATGTGGTGAAATAATGCTTTTTTTAATACGCCCTTCGTTAAGGGAAAATACTGGATGATGGTCTCTTGGGGTCGAGGGAGACGGGAGAAAAAATATTGCCACGTGATGTATTTGGTTTGTCGCGATATAAGTGCACCCTTATTGTTTGTTCCAATCATCTTTACATGCGCCAAAGTAGGCACCTGGTACAATCACGTGAAAATGACGGCATTTCGTGTCATTCTGTTCTCGAACTGATAACCGGTGTAAGCCGGCTATCAGTGCTTGCGTGTGTGTGTGTGTGTGTGTGTGTGTGTGTGTGTGTGTGTGTGTGTGTGTGTGTGTGTGTGTGTGTGTGTGTGTGTGCGTGTGTGTGTGCGTGTGTGTGTGCCTGCGTGTGTGCGCGTGTGCATGAGTGTGTGTGTGTGTGCATGTATGCGTGCGTGCGTGAGTGTGTGTGTGTTTGTGTGTGTGTGTGTGTGTGTGTGTGTGTGTGTGTGTGTGTGTGTGTGTGTGTGTGTGTGTGTGTGTGTGTGTGTGTGTGTGTGTGTGTGTGTGTGTGTGTGTGTGTGTGTGTGTGTGTGTGTGTGTGTGTGTGTGTGTGCGTCGGCAAACCACGAGTGCTCTTTTCGTGCGACACGCCGGCCGCGCCTGCTGCATCCCTCGGATGCTACCGCTCACCATCTAGGGCCCGAGTCCATCCGAATAAAGTGGTTGCCACAAAGTGTCTTCCATTTCCTGTGATACAAATCACAACACTACAAGACATCGGGTGGATATGCTGCGGTTCCATGCCTAGGACACCTCCGGGAAGCGGAAGCATCAGTCCCCAACGAACGTTTCAAGTTGATGGTGGCACTGGGCAGCACGCAAGCCACTGCTTACAGAACTTACCTCCGGAGTTCGGCACTCTCCCAAGCAAGATGACAATGAAGACTGCAGCAACTGACACTACCGACACGGCCACGACACCAATTTTGCTCTAGCAGCTACGAAAGCCGCCGAAATTTCATGGCTCACCAAGAGAAGACGCCCAAGAATTGCTGGAACAGTTTGAAAGGGTAGCCGCTCTCAATGACTGGGACGCTGATGTCAAACAGGTCAAGCGATAAACCAGGATAGAGAGGCTGAGTGTCGTTCGCCATTGAGCGTAGTCGAAGAACATATTAGCCTCATGTCCTACTCGAGCACTCCCGTCTCCGTCAGTGGCAACCCCTCAGAAGAAATACCCAACCGCGGTGGTCTAGTGCCTAAGGTACTCGGCTGCTGACCCGCACGTCGCGGGATCGAGTCCCGGTTGCGGCGGCTGCATTTCCGATAGACGCGGAAATGCTGTAGGCCCATGTGCTCCGATTTGGGTGCACGTTAAAGAACCCCAGGCAGTCGGCTTCCGGATCTCTCCACTATGGGGTCACTTATATTCATATGGTGGCTTCAGGGCATTAAACTGCACATAATAAATAATCCGAAGAAATGGATGGCATAGTCAAAACACACACAGACTTGCTTATTGACCCCACCATTTGTGTCACCAGACGAGTCACTAACTTCAGGAACGGATGCTCAGAAGTGATGATACTAAACTTCACTGCAGAAAAAAAGCACCTTAACAAAGGCTAGACTGTCGCATTTTCAAAACTATTCACTGAAATCAGCGAGTCATGCATCTTGGTAGACTCGTCGGGAAACACCTGACTGAATCCCCGGTTGTGGAGCCTATTTTCAACATTATTCCTGCACTGCCAATGCACAGGCGAGAACAGCTGAATGAACTTCTGATACATGAAGTGCTTTTCGCCGACATCCAAAGTAATAAACGCTACAATCGCTAAGCACCGAATTATAGCAGAAGAAAATATGCAACCTGTTCGCCGAAGCCTGCATCGATTCTCGTCACAAGAGCGCAATGTTATCAAGAAGTAAGTCAGTGATATGTTGTGTGATGACATCATTCAGTCGTCACAGAGCTCCTGGGCATCACCGGTTGTGTTAGTCAAAAAGAAGGACGGAACGCTGAGATCCGGCGTCGACTATCACCAGCTGAACGACGTTACAAAGAAGGATGTCTATATACTGCCACGTATCGACGACACTCTCGACCGCCTTTGCCACGCCAATTACTTGATTGATCGATATCTGGGGTTTAACGTCCCGGAACCATCATATGATTATGAGAGACGCCGTAGTGGAGGGCTCCGGAAATTTCGACCACCGAGGGTTCATTAACGTGCACCTAAATCTGAGCACACGGGCCTACAACATTCCCGCCTGCATCGAAATGCAGCCGCCGCAGCCGGGATTCAAACCCGCGAACTGCGGGTCAGCAGTTGAGTACCTTAGCCACTGGACCACCGCGGCGAGGCCACGCCAATTACTTCACACCAATAGATCTAAAGAGCGGCCATTGGCATGTTGAAGTAGATAAAAGAGACTGAGAAAAACAGCCTTCATTACGCTGGATAGCATCTATGAATTAAAAGTAATGCCCTTCAGACTTTGCACAGCCCCAGCTTCATTTCAGAGAGGCATGGGCACTGTCTTACGTGAACTCAAGTGCCAAACGTTCTCGTATACTTATATGACGTTGTTGTATTCGTGGCCGACTTTCAACACTTAAGCAGGCTGAATACCGTACTCCTGGCTATCGAATCATCCGGATTGACACGGAAACCAAAGAAGTCTCGGTTTGCTTACGAAGAATTGTTATTTATCGCTGACGTCGTTAGCAAAGATAGTATGAGACCTGATCCACATGAAAACTTCACTCAATGGCGGTTTTACGCGTTCTATGGACAAGAAAGCAGTCCACAGGTTTTTTGGATTGTGTGCATATTACAGATGATTTTTTCTAAATTTCTCAAAAATCGCTCAACTTCTGACACGTCTAACGAAGAAAGACGTCGAATTTACGTGGGGAACTTCACAACGCGACGCATTCGCCGAACCTCAACGCCGACCTTAGTCACCACCGGTGCTCGCGCATTTCGAGGAAGACGCTCAGAGACACACACCAATGCAGGCAGCGTTGGACTCGGCGCGGTGCTCGTCTAAAAAACATTTGTGCTTGAAAACGTTATTGCTTGCGCTAGCTGATCTCTCACCAAAGCTCAATCCAATTATTCAACAACAGAGGAGGAGTGTCTTGCTATTGCCTGGGCAATTTTGCCCCGCCGCGGTGGTCTAGTGGCTAAGGTACTCGGCTGCTGACCCGCAGGGCGCGGGTTCGTATCCCGGCTGCGGCGGCTGCATTTCCGATGGAGGCGGAAATGTTGTAGGCCCGTGTGCTCAGATTTGGGTGCACGTTAAAGAACCCCAGGTGGTCTAAATTTCCGGAGCCCTCCACTACGGCGTCTCTCATAATCATATAGTGGTTTTGGGACGTTAAACCCCACATATCAATCAATGGGCAACTGCCAATTTCCAACCCTACTTATAAGGACACCCTTCCAAGGTTGTCACCGATCATCACACGCTCCTCTGGCTTGCGAAACTGAAAAAAACCATCAAGTCACCTAGTGCGCTGGAGCCTGCAGCTTCTAGAATTCGATGTGAGGGTTGTTGACCAATCCGGGCGCAAGCAATCTGATGCCAATTGTCTCTCACGAGCTCCTATTGACACTATTCTGCCGGAAGAAGATGACAATGCTTTTCTAGGCGTGATCAGTGACAGTCGCTTTGCGAAACAACAGCGAAGTGACCTTGATATTTGTAATCTAATTCAGTACTTGGAAGGGAAGGCAACATCTGTTCCGAAAGCGTACAGCCGAAGACT